ATTTTTTAATCTTTAAAAATTTTTAATTTATTTTTATTTTCTGTGTATGACTGTTATGCCTGCAAATATGGAAGTGCACCCGTGTCATGCAATGCCCACAGAGGACAAAAGATGGCATAGAATCCCCTCAACTGGAGTTACAGACAGTTGTTAGCTGCCATGTGGATTCTGAGATTCGAACCTGGGTCCTCTGAAGGAGCAGGCAGTGCTCTTAACCCCTGAGCCATCTCTCCACTCCCTTTTATTTTTATGTATGTGTTTCGCCTGCATGTATGTAAGAGCACCACCTGCACACAGTGCCCCACAGAGGTCAGAAGCAGGTGTCGGATCTCCTGGAACTGGAGTTATGGATGGTTGTTAGCCACCATATGGTACTAGAAATCCAACCCAGGTCCTCTGCAAGAGCAGCCAGTGCTCTTAATCACTGAGCCACCTCTCCAGCCCCCCGCAACCCCCTTTTTTAACAGGTCCTCCGAAAGAACAGCAAGTGTTCTTAACCACTGAGCCATCTCTCCAGCCCCAATTATCACTATTATTTAAAATTATTATTTAATTATTATTATAAAATTCTTATTAAAATTATTCTTTAACATGATTTAAATAAAATGCCCTGCATCTAAAACCTATTTTAGAATGAAAAATTAAAGATATGACCAAGTTTCACTAATGGTTTCTCCTAGGTAGGATAGTGAATCTTTCTGGGTTTATTGGCTCAACCCAGCTTTCCTATAGTAGGACTTGGGGGTCTTGTGGTTATCAAGGCATCGCTCCCCCACCTATCGCCTCTACTCTGGGACTCCGTGACGTGACGGCCGTACCTTCTGGATTTGGAGGGCCGCAGAACTTGTGTCTACCGGCTTCTGGCCCAGCACTTTCATTTGTTTTGCTCTGCACTCCTGAAGGAAGATCTGCTTCATGAACATCGCCCTGAGGCGGCCTTGTCGGGCCCGCTCGGCCATCTGGATGAGCTTAACAGCCTCTTCCAACGCTATCATCTTTGCGGCGTGTTTCTGAAAAAATAAATCATCAGGACCAATCAACATTTAAACGTGTTAACTGGGCCAGTGAGATGACTCGGCAGGTAAGGGAGCTTGCTGCCAAGACTGACAATCTGAGTTTGATCCTCCGGACTCACACAGTGGAAGGAGAACATTGATTCCCTGAACCTTGTCCTCTGACCTCCACATGCATGCTGTGGCATGTGTAGGGCACCCCCCACCACCACACACACACATAAAAACGTGAACTACATCCATCCCAGGAACATCACTCTTTTACTTCATACCTGTGCTGAGTCCTCAAGTGTTATGAAAGGTGCAGGCCACAGGTGCCAATTTCTTAGTGCATTATGGGTATTTTGATACTATACCAACTCCAGGCTATGATCCCCAACTTAAGACTCCGACCTAGTTTTCTTTCCGCTACTGTGATAAACACCCTGACCAAAGAGAAACTAGGGGAGGAAAGGGCTTAGTTCACCTACACGTTACAGCCCATCGCCAAGGGCAGCCAGGGCAGGGACTCACGGGACTCAGGACAGAAGCTTAAAGCAGAAACCACCATGTTTACTGGCTTCCTCCCAGCTCCATACTCAGCTACTTTTCTTTTTAAATTATTTTTATTTTATGTGTGTGAGTGTATTGCCTGCATGTATGCAAGTATACCCCATGTGTGCAATGCCCGCATGTGTGCAGAGTCCAGAAAAGGGCGTTGGATCTCCTGGAATGGAGTTATGAAAGGTTGTTAGATGCCATGTGGGTCCTCTGCAAGAACAGCCAGTGTTCTTAACTGCTGAGCTGTGTCAACTTCTTACATAGCCCAAGGCCACCGCCTAGGGTTGATAGTGGCTGCAAGTGGGTTGGTGCTCTTATATCAATTAGTAACCAAGAAAATTGCCCTACAGTCATGCCCACAGGCCAGTCTGAGGGAGGCAAGTTTTCAATTGAGATCCACTCTTCCCAGGTGTGTCAGGTTGACAACCAAATTAGCCATTACAGACTGTGCCTATCCCAGATAAAATGATAATTAGTGCTCCAATACTTTAGTTTGGGAGCATGGCAGATGTGAAATGACTAGAAACATTCATAAGACAGAGTGAGTGAACCTGGAAGTTGCCATCATTGGCTTAACAGTAGAAACAGGAATTAAAAATACATCTCTAATACGACAACTTACAATGTACTTCAAGGGAAAGGTTAAATTTAAAGCCAATTTCAGACCCTAGTCAAGATGAAGAATGTTAAACTGTTTTAGGACCATTTGCTTTTATACGGAAAAACATCAGGGTTGGAAGGTGGCTTGTCACGTTCCACTGTGAGGACCTGAGTTTGGATCTTTAGCACTAATGTAAAAGGCTATGCATGGCAGTGTGTATCTGTAACCCCAGCTATGGGGAGGGGAGCAGAGCCAGGTGGATCTCTGGAGCTGCTTGTCCAATCAGTCTAGCTGAATTGAGTTCCCGATTTGAGAGACTGAAGATGTCTGTGGTGGTTTGGATAAGAATGTCCCCCATAGGCTCTAAGAATTTGGATATTTTGTCCCCAGTTGGTAACACTGTTTTGAGAGGCTGTGTCTCGTGTTTTGAGAGGTGTGGTCTTGGGGCGGAGAGATGGCACAGAGATTAAGAGCACTGGCTGCTCTTGTAGAGGACCACCTGGGTTTGTTTCCCGGCACCCACATGGTGGTGAATAACCACCTGTAACTCCAGTTCCAGGATCCAAGGCCCTCTTCTGCCTTCTGTGGGCACTGCAGGCATAATACTTGTACACAGAGATAAAAATAAAAATAGAAATAAAAATAAAATAAAAGGTGTGGCTGTGTTGGAGGAAGTGCGTCACTCGGGGAGGGCTTAGAGAGTTCTTAAGCCTTGAAAAATCAAACCCCAGTTGCTCTCTGCTTCCTGTGCCTGCTTGACGCTGTGAGCCTGTGCTTTCTGCTCCTGCTCTGGCCACCTCCTGCCACCGTGCCTGCCCTCCACGATGGACTCTAATTCCCCTGGAACGGTTAGCTCAAATGTACTCTTCCTTTTATAAGTTGCCTTGGTCACAGTGTTTTATCACAGCAACAGAAAAGTATCTAACACAACATCCACTGTCAACCTCTGGCCTCCACATACATGTACCAGCACCCCCACACACAAACACACACACATCCAGACATGAGATTAGCGCCACTGAAATAGGAAAATAAGGGTCTGTGTGGGATTTCAGGTGAGGTGCGGTGACAAAGCCAAGCTAAAGCTGTGGAATGGAGTGTGGAGGGACAGAAGTGAGGGTTTGGGGAGCACCCAGAAGCCCATGCGAGCTCTGAGTGGGCTCAGGGCAGGGGCCCATTGCTGTCCCTACAGCAGCGGAGATGCTTCACTTGTGGGGTGTGTGTGTGTCCATGCACAGGCAGAGGCAGAGGCCATACCATTAGAGGCAGAATAGCACCAGGCACAGGTCAGGTCCCTGTCTAGGTCTCAAAGCAGCAATGACTGACATATCACATGGAGGATACTGGGTGTCAAGTGTGGTGTTAACTGGGCATCTACTTCCCTCTCTATTTGTGGGGGCACAGGAAGGAGAGACAGGCACATGGGAGGGGCATCCACTGGGCACCCACAGAGGCCGGATGCTTTTTTACATTTATACAGCAAGCTTCGAGGCAGGCACATGGTGGCCATGTAAGAGCAAGGGACCCTGGGGCTCAGAGGAGTCAAGAACCCGTCCCTGCTGCCATGGTCAGTATGTGGCAAGCCACCAGGGCAGAAACCGACCCTCCTGCTGATGCACCCGTGGCCCCCAACACAGCCTCTCAGTGTGGTGCGGGTGGTTTGAGAAGTGACACAGGGAGCGGCAGCTGGTATTAGGTGGGTCAGGAGAGGTTTCTGGAAGAATGCTGTGCCTACTGTCCACCATGTGGACAGGGAGCGTGTTGGGAGGGAAGGGGCCATCGCTACAGCACACAATGTGTGATGAGAAACACAGGCCAGCGCTGGTCTCCTAAGAGCACACATCCCTTGTGTCCTGTGCCAGGCATGGAGGCTTTCCTTCCATCATCCCTGATGTAAGTGTGGAGTCTTCCATGAGACTGTGACTGGGGCTGGCGATACCCAGGAAGAATGCGTGTGTCAGTCCTCACTGGACTGGGGCCTGGCGCGCACCTGTAGTCTCCCCGGGCATTTGGAGGATCCTCGCTACTCTGCCGTACCCAGAAGGGATGGCCCATTGCTGCTCACTGCCTGCTCCATTAGGACTGCCTAGGGTGCGAGGCATTGATTTCAGCAGCTCAGCTGTAGCCACTAACATGCATAAGTAGACATGCCAGGAGGGTAGTGCCATATAGAAGGGACTGGAAGGGAAAAAGGACCACCTCCCTGAAGGCTGCATGGGAGATTCCTGCAAGAATCCAGCAGGTGGGAGTCGGGTGGACTCGAGACAACATAACTGTAAAAGCCAAAGATGGAGCCAAACAGGAAGGGTGGGGCTGGAGAACCAGTTGCTCTCTGCTTTCCAAGGCCCCTTAGCAAATCTGTGTGAGTATATGTGTGATATGTGTATATGTATGTATGTATGCATGTCTGTGAGTGTGGGTGTGTGCATGCCACTGTGGACATGTGGAGGGTAGTGGACAACCTCAGTGTCAGTCCCCACCTCCCTCCTTGTTCAGGGTCTCGCTGCTACACCCCAGCTGGCCAGCCCATGAGCTTCCTGGGATTCTCCTGTCTTATGGCCCATCTCACTGTAGAAAATGGGACTACAGATGTATGCTACCATGTCTAGCCTTTTGTGGGTTCTGGGGATAGAACTCAGGACCACATGTTTCCATTGTAAGTGCTTTACCCACTATGCAACCCCCAGCTCTCTCCAAGGGGTTTTAAGGGCATTTTTTTCCCCAGAGGCAGGGGATCCAAGTGTCACTCAGCTAAAATTTTTTAAAAAATTTTATTTTATGCGTATGCGTGTATTGCCTGCATGTAGGTAAGTGCACCTGTGTCATGCAATGCCCACGGAGCAGGAGAGG